CGCATATACGCGCATTTTAGCACGCGTATATATGGGTCCTTGTAGGACGCGTATATTTGGGTATTTATTTCGCATATCCCCGCGCTTGAATTTACGCAAATGTGTGGCCCTTTAAAAATGCGTATATACGCATAAAATGGTCGTATATATGAGCTTAAAGCCCATACGTGACGTATGTAAACTAGTATACGCGACAGAAAAACCCGCGTATACCCTGTCGTAATTTTGAAACGAATGGCCAACCATAGAAATTAGTGCATGAAACGGGAAACTCGGACAAGTAGGCCTTTAGTCAGAGAAGCCAAATGGAAAGATTTGGTTTTAAAAAGGGGTCAGCGATTTGAATAAAAGCCACAGGAAGATGACTAGTCACCCGTATGCGATTCCCTTAGCGGGACGCATTAGGAAGAATAGCTGTGCATATTTACAGACATATGCTGAGAGCTAAAATGCAAATATAATTTTCCATGGATCATTGCGATTCAGGTGGCTTGTTTTGACATCCAATACAATGCGATTCTTGTGCTACACCAGAAGAAAAATCACTCACACTGAACAGATAGAATAGAGATCAGGAGCATTAAACTTCTGAAGGCCGTAACTATGAAGATCATCTGTGCAGGACTTCTAAAAACGGGTACTAAATCAATCGCCAAAGCCTTGCGGCACCTTGGATATACGGTGTTTGACTGGGAAGAGCAAACGTTTGACTTCCTGGATCACTGGGTTGATGTTTTTCAAAATGGCGCCAAACCTGATGTGAAGAGAGTCTACCAGAATGCTGATGCATGCATCGATTTTCCTGGAAACTTCATCTTCGAGGAAATACTGGAAACTTTCCCTGACTGCAAAGTAATTTTGAGCGAGAGAGAGGAAGGTTCGTGGATAGAAAGTGCGGTGCGTCAGTTGGATTCAGTAAACGCTCTACGATCCGAGGTTGTGTCCATGTTATCCCCAACAGCGAGGAAAATGGTGTACGTTTATGATCCGTTCCATAATGCGGCCATTGGATCTTGTAATACGAAGTCCACCTATGTTATAAGAAAGCGATGTCGTATCCACAACCACCGTGTAAAGTCCATTGTTCCCGCTGACAAGCTGTTAGTGTACAATGTGAAACAAGGATGGAAGCCATTGTGTGATTTCTTGGAGTGCAAGGTCCCAACCATTGCCTTCCCACATGAAAATATCAAAGCTGAAATTACTAATACGGTCATGATGACCAGGTATGGCAAGCAGGTGAATCGGGAATTTCGTAATGGTGTTTTGAAAATCGGTTTATTTCTTGTAGTAATTGTAGGAGTATTTCTTGCCACCTTTTTTAATCACTGAGCATAACCTCAGAATAGTAACAGTGACATCTTTGGAAACTTTTCCAATCCCGCTGATACTTATATTTTCTTTTTTTTGGTTTGTTTTGAGACTCAACTCGATAGTTATATACTGCATACATTGAGAGAGGCCAAGTAAGTAATTTTGTTTGGTATTTTCAAGTTCGTGAAGAAGACTGTCTAAAAACTTTAAGGCTCAGAGTTAAATAAATCGATAATTTTTAAGATCGCTTTTTTTGTATGAACTTGAAACTTTTAGTTTTCCTTCGGCTTCAAACTGCAACTTAAACTGTTTTCGCCTTCAGTTAACAGAGAATTAGCAGAGAATTCTGTTCAGTACAGATAATCAGTCACCTTGATAACCAGTTTATAGCACGATACTATTGGTGGTGGTCGTCTGACCCACGTTGCTAATCGAATTTGCTCAACACGCCTTAAGTCTGTCTCTTGAGTCCTCCTACTTAGAGGGAAAACGGCTAAAGATTCTTACTACCTTAAAGGTTATATCTTACTGAGGTATTATTTACAGATCTCCCCAGATTATGGGTTGTTTGATCGATTTCGGGACATGTTAGAGAAAGTTTGAATTAAACACCGGAATGGTGATCTAAACAGTCATTGTACCTAACTGTCTCTTTTGTGGGAAAATAGCTACAAATTCTACCGCAGCAGTTCAACTACACGGTGGTCAATGATTGGCCTAGCAGAGTCACTTGTGATACTTCAACTTTAATCGAGATCCGAACTGATCAGGGGGGATACGAGAACAGTTCAACTCGTTATGTTCAGTTAAACAACATGAAAGTCGCATGCTACTGCAACACAGGGGACAGAAAACTAACAAATCCAGTCCTCAGTCGACCATGACATAAGCATCTGTAGATGAACGCAATCAGAAATGTAAATACGATCCACCCACGACTTTACATGGATGAGTGCGCCAACTGCATGTGTTCGTGACTCTAGCGGTTTTGATTAAGACAAAAACAACGACCGGCAAACGGACGCAACAGAAGAGCAGTCACCTTTCTACCATTAGTAATGAAGATCATCTGTGCAGGAGCCGGAAAAACGGGTACCAAGTCAATCGCCAAAGCCCTGCGGCACCTTGGATTTACGGTGTTCGACTTTGAAGAGCAAACGCTTGACTTCCTAGATCACTGGGTCAATGTTTTCCAAAATGGCGCCAAACCTGATGTGAAGCGAGTTTACCAGAATGCCGACGTATGCGTGGATACGCCAGGAAACTTCTTCTTCGAGGAAATACTGGAAGCTTTTCCTGATTGTAAAGTGATTTTGAGCGTGAGAGAGGAAGATTCGTGGATAGAAAGTGCTGTTCGTCAGTTGGATTCATTGTATGCTATACGATCCAAGATTGTATCCATGTTATCGCCAACGGCGAGGAAAATGGAGTATTTTTTGGATTCCTTCTTCAATGCCACCATTGGATCTTTTAACACCAAGTCCACCTATGTTATAAGAAAGCGATATCGTATCCACAACCACCGTGTAAAGTCTATTGTTCCCGCTGACAAGCTTCTGGTGTATGACGTAAAACAAGGATGGAGGCCAATGTGTGATTTCTTGGAGTGTGAAGTCCCCACTGTTGCCTTCCCACATGAAAATATCAAAGCTGAAGTTACTAAGAAGATCATTACAGGCAGATATGGCCAGCAGGTGAAACGGGAGTTTCAGAGTGGTGTCTTGAAAATCAGTTTATTTCTTGTAGTTATTTTAGGAGTATTTCTGGCCATCTTTTTGCATCACTGAGCATGACCTCAGAGTAATAACATTGACAATTTTGCAAACTTTGGAAATTCCAGATACTATCTGGTCTGTTTTGAGACTTAACTCGATACTTATATACTGCATTAGGAGAGTTCACTCATTTGTTCTTCATTGTCAAGTTCGACAAGACTGTCTAAAAACTTTAAGGCTAAGTAAAAAAAAAATTCATTTAAATGTTTTTGTTTTCTTCGGCCTCGTAAACGAAAACTGTTTTCGCATTCATTTAGCAGAGAATTAGCGGCAGGTATATTTTGCAGGTTGCAGGTTGCAGGTTGCAGGTTGAAATTTAATTATAACTGGAAAACCGCTGCCAATAAAAATAATTAATAACCTATATACTCGTCAGGGGTTCTTACATAAAGTAGTTCGCCTCTTTCACATGGTGAAAACACGATCGATCCGCTACAAGTACTTATCGATCGACACGCTGAGACCAGTGAAATCTCTTCAAAGCCATCTGGATAGCTGCTCCACAGATGGTTCCATCGATTCTAGATTTGGCTCGGGTCTTCCCTCAACAACAGAAGATTGCCGCCACAAATAGGGGTGGTTAATGGTAAATGCGAGACTTGGCGAGACGGCGAGACAAACGCTTTTCTTTGCGAGCCCGAGACATATTGACTTTTTAGATTGCGAGACCGAGACTTCAAAGCGTTTGGAGTGCGAGAGCGAGGGGCTCAGAAATTTGAGCCCGGCCAGATTTAGTTGAGAGCTATAAGAATGAGCGAGAATGTAAATACTTGTGCCTTTACTCAGTTCCACAGGGGACAACAGATAAGTTCTTCGACTTTGTGGGTTTCATCATGAGCTATCGTGGGTTCCCCTTTTAGCCTTTTAGCCAGCCTTCGCGAACATGCTGAAACTGGAAATTCAACTATAACACACTACGTTAGGATATCCTAGCACAAAATCGCTGTTTTTTGGCGCCAAAATGACGTTGTGGTAAGTTTTGTAGCTTTTTGTGGAATTCAGACAATTTAGTAGAAGTTAGGATTAACTTTTTCTCGGAAATTTGATAGTTGCTTTATTGAAATTTAATATTAAGTGACGAGAAGACGTCATTTATTAAAATAAACAAACGAATCGGAACTTCGAAACCCTTAACC